ACATACAATGCTGTTTTAACACCTAGCTCCAATTATGCAAATACAACCAACACCTGGTTGTGCCAGACAGATAATATGGATTGGAACAACATTCACCATATTTATTCCCAGATAATTTTTGTACAAGTCATTCTGAATTGAGAAAGCTGGTTGGATGACCAGTGAAACATCGTCAAGAAAATTACATAAAGTCCAGTTGCCTTGACTTATTTTTTACAGATACCTATAATAAGCCATTATTCTGCATTGGTAATTGATTTCCTAATAGATCATTACCATGACACACTACTTGATAATGGATAATTATGTTTTGGAAACATTCACAACCTAGTCTGCCCTATATACTGTCAGCAGTCCCCATAAATCCAGCTACAGTCATTTCACTGTAAAGAAGGGCAGAGATTAAACCAAACCAAGACTGCACAGTTCTCTATACCAGGGTCACCATAATTGTATGTAAAGTACACCACATGTCTACTGTTGATGTATTATTATTATTATTATACAGGATTTATATAGCGCTTTACAATAAAAGGAAGACATTACAATCACAATACAATTCAAGACAAGATGGTAAGGAGGGCCCTGCCCATGAGGGCTTACAATCTAAAAGGGAGGGGCAAGTGATATGAGGAGCTAGCTATGTGGGGACGAATTGTTTGAGAATGTGAAGGTTGAGCAGTTAGGTTGAGGTGGGATAGGCTTCCCTGAAGAGGTGAGTCTTCAGGGTACGCTTAAAGGCAGTCATAGTGGGAGATAGGCAGACAGGTTGGGGTAAAGAGTTCCAGAGAATGGCAGAGACTCTAGTGAAGTCCTAGAGGCGAGCATGGGAGGAGTTGACAAGGGAGCTAGAAAGCAGGAGGTCTTAGGAAGAGCGGAGGGGACGGTTAGGATAATACTTTGAGACAAGGTTTGAGATGTAGCCGGGGGCGAAACTGTGGATGGCTTTGTAAGTGGTTGTTAATATTTTGAATTTTATCCTTTGGGTGAATGGAAGCCAGTGTAGGGATTGACAGAGGGGGGATGCAGACACTGAACGGTTGGTTAGGGGAATGAGTCTGGCAGCTGGATTCATTATAGACTGAAGGGGGGATAGCCTGTGTAGTGGAAGGCCAATGAGGAGGGAGGTGCAATAGTCAAGACGAGAGATAACAAGGGAGTGGATGAGTAATTTTGCGGTTTCTTTGGTGAGGAAGGGGCGTATTTTGGAGATGTTACAAAGGTGTGGGGAAGAAAGGTAAGGTTCAAGTCAAGGATGACACCTAGGACCTTGGCATGGGAGGAGGGATGATAGCAGTGTTAACAATCTCCAGGGAAAAGTTGGGGGAAGGTGCACGGGCAGGAGGAAATATCAGTTTTTGAAAGATTGAGTTTTAAGAAGTGTTGCGACATCCAGACCGATATGTCAGTTAGTAGATTAGTGACACGCAAGGACACTGAGGGGGAGAGTTGTGGAGTAGAAAGATATATTTGAGTGTCATCGGCATAGAGATGGTAT